GAACTTGGAAACATGTATGAACCTCACTGAAGTATTCCAGTTCCCTAAAACAATAACCAGATTCCTCATGATTATGGTTCATTTCAGGAAATTGTGTGTGATGTTCTGGGTTTATTGGGCAATGATAACCCCAATAAGCCAGAAATCCTGCATTTAAAAAAAAAAAAAAAAAACATTTCCTCTACCATACACTGTGCGGATGGCATTAATGTCCGGGAATCTATTTTCCAGTGGGAATATCTGAGAGACTTTTGTTCCTCCTTTCTTCTGGCTGGGGTTTTCTTTGTATTTGGAAGCCCTAATACATGCTTTCCAATATTAGCCCTTTAACACGATACAGAATCTTTTTGGCTCAGAAAAGTCTTTAAATTAAACAAAAGTTGACATGATTAGAATTACTCGGTTATGCCAACAGTCTCTTAACAAATGTTTTTTAATATTTGGATTTGACTGTAATGCAAGTTTTCCAAGAACTCTATCTTTGTTCTGTTTTTAATAATGTTCTAAATGACCCTTCAAGTTTGTAAGATTGTAGTGTTTGCAATTTTTTTGAAAATTTACATAGTCACATACCAATTTGGGAGACGATAAGTACTAGCCAGGATGACATGTTGGGAAACAGAATGGACTACAATTACAAATGAGATCCAGTTTTCTGATAGATTGTCTTACTCCTTATATGTTATCACATTGAACACATATGCCATATTGAATATGTAAGAATAAATAAGAATTATACACATATGAGAATATATAAACCCTAGAACTTGATATTCTACTTTTGTATTTATCCAACTGATCCTTCCTTCTTAATATACTAAAATAGTAAAGAAACAACTCCCTACAAACAATTGTACACCAATAATTGTGATGCTTTTACTTCACAGTGAAGAACTTTGTTAATTTGGATTTGGATTTTGGTGTGCCTGTGGTATTGTAAGCCATCCACCTCTGGAGACTCATTGTCTGGATTAAGGAAATTTATGACCACGGGCATAGTTGAAAGCACTTCTCTAGGTTTTAGTATTTCTGTATTTCAAACACTAGATACAAGAGATGAATAGGACAGTTCTTTGTTTGAAGGAATGTGAACTGTAATCAGAGCAAAGATAAACAAATAAATGGAATGAGGCATAAATAATTAATGATTATAATCTTTTGTGAGCTTCCTGAAAGCCAGTTTAGTGCTTAGTACTTCAAATTCGACTCCTCGTTGAGACTCAAGATAAGTGAACTTAAGGAACTCTAGTACAAGAATATATAGCTAGTAGTAGAACTAGACTTGGATACAGGTCTGTTTTATCTAAAGCTTTGCTTTCATCCTATATCAGTTATATGTTCTATAGAAAAGGGAGGTACAAAGTTGAGGGGAGGTTGAACCTCTTAGCCTAGGAATTGACAGTTGAAACAAAAACTGAGGAGAGATAGATAAAAAGAAGTTTTGGAGAAATTTGAATAAGTATGACATTTTACAAGATGTTCACTATGACAGGCAGATACAATTAATGTGTCCATTCGTTCCATAGATAATTGTTGAATGCATGGTTCCTGCCAGCAATTATTCTAAGTACTAGAAATACAACAGAGTGAATAAATGAGGTGTGGTAGGAGGTAAAGGTAGAAATCAGTCCACAGACAGAGCACACTTCTGTGACAATAAGTTTTCTATTAGTATATACAAGTTTTATATTAATATACCTCGGCCAAAGAAAAATTAGACTGTATAGTGAACACATTTTGGGGGGACAGAGGCTTTGTCTGTCCTGTTTATGACAGTAGCCAGAGTGCCTGGAGCAGTACTGTGAATGCAGAAGGTAGTTGATCAATATCTGTGTCATGTGTGAATAGATTGCTTAGCAATTAGAAACTGCTTAAAGACTTTGGGAACATCTCTTCACCTTCCTGCATCAAAAATAATTTACTGAAATGATAAAATGAGCGGATCTCGACCTCATTTCCCTGAAGCATTGTTACTGATCCCCTTTGAGTTCCTAATTTACACATTTTTAGAAAACTCTTCCAATTATAATACGATCAAATATACCTTTATTTTTCATCTGAAGACATTTTAAAAACAGAATTTCTAGCTTCCTGGGGTTATCCTAGTGATACAATCTGTGTCTCTCCTCATCTGACCCCTTCCTTTCACCAGCTAGGTTTTGAGTGGTCCCAATGTTCTCACTGTAGGAGATCCCAAAATATTAGCCCTTCAAAGTGACATCTCTTTCTCTAACTTTTCTCATTCAGTTTCCTTCTTCCTTGGAATCAAGGTAAAGGAAGTCTATACCCACTTCACTCTGAGTCCATTCAGTATTTTATCTTAGACTTTTCTATCCTGAACTCTATCTGGTCTCTAGCAATAATGACTACTTTTCTGCATCTGCTTCTATGTTCCAAGTTCAGTTTTAGGCATTTCTCCCACATTTTAGCTAAGCATAATACTAATGTTAAATATTTCATTAAATTTACTGTCAGGTGATGCAACTAAGGACTGAAAAGATTAGATAATTAACCCCCACAATCATAAGGTCTCTCAGTAGGTGAGTGAACTGGAATTTAAACCCTGTATGCTAAATTCCAAACTCTGAAATATCATTTCCATTTCTATAGATATGTATCCAGCCTCTCAGCCATCCAACAACAATCTGTTGCCTGTGTCAGTCACTAGACATACAAATGGGAACAAGTCAGATTTCTCACAAGTAGTGCAGTCTAGTGGGGCAGGATAGAAGCATTTACAAATAACTTTAATATAGCATGGCAGTTGCTATTGAATCTGACCTCCTCAATTATGAACTCAGTCAATGTGGGCAATGTCTTTGACTTTGTATTTCTCTGATGTAAAGTGAGCATATTAATAACCTATTTCAAAGGGTTTTATGAGGATTGAATGAGACAACAGATGTAAAACACTTGGAAACAGTCTCTGACACATGAAATTGTTCATTAAATAACAGCTCTAACTCGATTTGCACAAGATGCAATAAGATCACAAAGGAGGGATGCCTAGTCCTTCCTGGAGAGTGGTTGCAGAGGTGAAGGAAAGCAAGGGATGTAAGAAGGTCAGGGAATGCTTTTCAGGGGCCATTACATCTGAGCTAAGACATAAGTTTATAGTAGGAGTTGTGGTTTATAGGCATGGTGGTGCATGTCTGTGACTTGGGAGGCTGAGTCAAGAAGACTGCAAGTTTAATACCAGCTTCAGCAATTTAGTGAAGCCCTAAGCAACTTAGCAAGACACTGTCTCAAAATAAAAAGATCTGGGGATATTGCTCTCTGGTTAAGCACCCATGAGTTCAATTCCTGGTACAAAAGAAAAAGAAGAGAGAATCATTTCAATCAAAGACAGCTTGAGCAAGGGTGTGTGGATTAGAATTTGCATTGAGTCTGCACAAAGTCTCAGAGGTAGCTGGTAGAATATTTGAATGTTTGCCAAGTTCTACATTGTAGAAAGTACTATAGTCCATATTGCAGGATTTAAAGTTGTTCCTCTATTCAGACTATGGTTGTTGTGGGTAAAGGTTATTGAATAGTTGTAGGTAATTGGTCAGTTCTCTTCTGAATGGCTTTTAAAGCTATAAGGAAGCCAAAGGCCTATGGAAGATTGGAGTTGGGAAGCCCAGAAAAGAGGTTTTTATAAAGTGTCCCACATAGGAAGGATGAGAGCATTTGTACCAGAATAGAGCAGGAAAGAAGGAAATAGGGTCAACCTAAGAAGTATTAGGAGGTTAAAAAAAATTGGAATTTAAACAAGCAAGTGAGGAATAATTCCTGTTTTGGCTGAAGTTGTTTATGGCATGTGGTGGTACCACCAACAGAGGGAGAACAAGGAGGTATCCAGTTTAGAGATGGAGTTCTGTATTGAAAATACTGAGTGTCTGATATAGGTTGAAGTTTAATATGTGAGTCTGGGCTGGGAATATGGATTTCTGGATAATTGCTAGCATCCAATGGGCAAGAGCCTGTTCAGGCAGAGATTGGGAAAGGAGTGGACAGAGAGAACCCTAGATGTGCCAAAATGGTCTTCAATTTTGCTAGTCAGATGTCTTTTACCTTTGATGGAGAAAATGTGTGCTAACAATCCAGCCCTCCTGTATTCCCTACTTAAACAAGTTAATGACCCGGAGGGGAAGAGAAGGAGGAAAACACAGTTTTGTTTTGTTTTGTTTTCAATCTTTTTTATAGTTGTAGATGGACAGCATGCCTTTATTTAATTTATTTTTTTATGTGATGCTGAGGATCGAACCCAGTGACTCACACATGCTAGGCAAGTGCTCTGCCACTGAGCTATAGTGCCCGCCCGAAAATACAGTTTTTATAAAGAGAAAAAAAAGGCTTGGAGAATTGGCAATCTTACTGCATGAATGGTAGTAAGAGTATGTTTTCCTGAGTTAAACATGAATTTGGCCAAAGTTTTGTGTTTCATATATCTGCTTTTCACTTTTCTCTGAAGACTACCTTAAGACCTTCACAATGCTACAGATAAGGAAGGTGGCCCAACTTTGGTGTCAGATCAGGATATCAATTGCAAATCTGCTACTTATATTTGTAGACCCTTCAGCAAATTAGTACCTTATTTGCACCTTAACTTCCTCAGCTATAAGAGGGTAATAATAGCTATTTCACTGACTTGTTCAAAGGATTAAATTAAATTATAGGTAAAAAGCATTTTGCATGTAGCAGATGTCCCATAATTATTGGTTCCTATACAACTTTCACCATTACTGTCATTCTTTGTTATTTTTTCAGAAATTTGGATTTTAATTATGGATAAACTTCTTTTTACAATTCTCTAAAAGAAAATCTTAATCATAGGCCTCTCATGTTAGTATTTTGATGTCTCCAAAATATATGCAGAACCTATGCCAATTAAGGTGGATAAGAGGATTTTCAAAYTTCAGCTAATATGTTTTAAAATTGTTATAATGTTTCATTAGCAGTGTAATTCTCTAAATAATGCCTGCCTCTTTCTCTCTCTTTCTCTCTCTGTCTCATTTCAGCCTGTGAGGTTGAAGCTGGGAAAGTATACCAAGTCTCCTCTAAAGAGCACATGCAGCCTTTCAAAGAAAACATGGAGCAATTTATTATTCAAGGTAAATTGCAAAGAGATGTGGTGTTTTCCTCCCTTTTTAGCAGAAATATTGAAGGCACTTTTAAAAAAATACACATTGGTTTAAAAGGGATTATATTGACATTACAAAAAAAAAAAACCAGATTCATGAGTCTGTTTAATCATGAGTCATAGAGGTGTGAGAGGCTAGCAATTTGCTAAACATGCTACTCTCTAAAGAAATTATTTTTTTTTCATGACAGTAAATATGCTTGATAATAGTTAATATAGCTTGTATTTTTAAAGACATTAAAAATTCTCTTCTTTCTGTTATAGAATATTAGATATTCTTTTAACTATGCTTATGACCTCAGTTCAATCTGGTATTTATTTGGTGTGTCAAAACATTGTACCCAAAGAACAAAGCATACTGATGTTTTTCAGCTCTTCAGAACATTATTTCCTATTTTTCTTAGGATACACTAATACCTCTGGATATTTAACACTTTTCTTCGAGGGAGCTTAAAAACTTTATAAATATTATCTCATTGATGCTTCTTACATTCCTACGAGATAAGCAGGAATGGAAAAATTCAGAAGATACTAAAGAAACATTTTCTTTTTAAGAGGGAAAAGATCTATTAAAAGTCCTGCTGTTTGAATTGAAACTTACAATTATATCAAAGCATTTACTACTCAAAACATTTCTACTTTGGAATGTTACATCTCTTCTGAAGATCAGATTTGTATCATGCCATGCTCTGGGAAAGTTCTTGCTCTTTCAGGAATTCTCCTGGAGGCTGACATGGCATGAAACTGAGGCCAAGTAGCACTCTGAAGATTGGCTCCATCCTCTGCATATTAGGCTATGGTTTTTAATAGTTTGTTCAAGTGTCATTAATGATGATTTACAATGAATGAGTCATGTTACCATTTTGTTAAACGTAAGCACAGCTTTTTTTAGATGGGAAAATACTATTTAATCATTTAAGATAATCATGAAGATTGAAACAGAACTCTGTTGAGATTCATATTCAAAGTGATTGTCATTTTCAAATTCAGTGCTTCTCATGACCTAGATTGGAAACTACACTGAGTTCTGAAGAGTCCTTGAACCCAAATCGTTAGTCCTTAAGTTACCTACCAAGAGAACACTATATACTGATTGCATTCTTAGTAGTGAAATAAAACTAAGTCTTGACTTTTCCATCCAGTGTAATTTTAGGATCAAGAATATGTAACTTAAAAAAAATAGATAACTTAAAAAAATATATATATATAGGTAAAAGCATAAAATTAATTTGTGGTTTTTTGAGAAGTTATTCTAGGAAATGTTTTAAAAGAAGCAAGCATTTGCTGAGTTTAATGTCTAAAATGTAAAGAAGTGATACATTTATTGTTCACATTATATATGACTTATTACATGATATTTTGAATCTGTAGTGTATAGACCAGACATTTAAATTGGTTTCATCACTTAATATCAGTCATTTTTAAAGCATGAATAGCAATCTACTTAGAATTTAGGAATTATGCTTATAAACCAAGATGATCAGCCATAAGTATTTTCTTTGATGATAATTTATGATGATACAAYGCCCTTGGGATTTGTCTAATGGTTCACTTGTGGGGAAAACAGGACTACCAGTTTTAGTCACATTAAATGGACAAACATCTCTTTAGATTTTAATGATCTTCCAAGATTTACTTAAACTCCTTACTATGAAATTCAGATACCTTTAAGTTTATACTTTTGTATGTTAAATGAAAACATTACTATTGTAAGGGTAATAACATACTTCTAAGTATTGAACACGTCACCTTTTTGCCTTTAAGTTATACAAGATGAGTCTTTCTTCATTGTTCTTTCATCACTTTCAACTGCTTTTTTATTTCTTCTCTAGTCTTATTCAGGTGTTCTGTGATTATTTGTTCATGAAAAAATTGGGGGGCGGGGAGTGGAGGATATGGCTCAATGGTAGAGTGCATGCCTGGGTTTGATCCCCAGCATCACACACACAAAAATTTTTATCAAGTATGCAGGTGTTATAGTTAAAGCTTTGTCCCAGGGTTTCATAAACTGACTTCCAGACCACTCACGTATAATYGAATCAAGCCTTTATTGAAGCACACCAGTGGCGGCTGACCAGAACATAAAGCTGTTCYCCTGAACAGCCCCGAACAATTGCAAGGGCACTCCTTATAAGCCTGAAAACCGCAAAAGGGATGTTCAAGAGGTCTAGCCAATGCAAGCAAGCCAGGTTACAGAAGCGGGACAGTGCAGTCAAGCGGAGGGAAGCCTAACCAATCACAGTTAGCCCAGTCACCCCAGTTACAGAAACAGAGCCCCCGTGACCCTAGTTACAGAAACAATACCCCATTAGGTAGTTCCGTGTTCTTAAAGGTTTCTATAGCAAAAGGAAAAGAACATCCTTCCCCAGTCATGACCCTTCTACTTGGCATGGTTGTTTTACAGATGAAGTCATAAAACAAAATGGAGTCACATTTGCTTCTACTACCACACAGGCATTGTTTTGAATATGGCTTGTAGGGGTGAATAAGAAAATGTTTGTTTCTTAGTAGATCTTACATTCTACAATATCTAAAAGAGAATAACAATACAAACCACAGGCAAAAAATCCTTTGGAAACACTTATGTAGATCAAAAATGTGTCAAAAAACGTGAAACAATAAGTGACCAGCTTTGAGAATAGTTGTTTTTAAACCTATGTTCATTGACATATAGTGAAAACAATAGATTTCAAAATGTGTTTCTCTTATGATAAATTTTTTTAAATGTAGCAATTTTTACTCTAGATTTCTTCTAATTACCAGGAAAAAGAATTCTTAAAATCAGATTTATAAACCAAAGAAGATGCCACTTTAGTAAAAATAATATATGCCAATTCTTTGCTCATAAATAAGCTTTTATCAATAATAAATAGCATTCTTACATCAATCTTTGTTCAAATTAACTTACAGAGGCATATTCATATATTCATGTTTTTATATATCTAATCACAGTCTTTGGTGGAAAGGAGGGATATTGGGGATTGAACCCTGGGGAGATTAACCTCTAAGATATATCCTCAGTTCTTTCTATCTTATTATTATTTTGGGGACAGTGTCTCTCTAAATTGCTGAGGCTAGCCTTAAATTTGTAATCTTTCAGCCTTGGTTTCCCAAGTCTCTGAGATTATAGGCATGCATTGCCACGCCTACCTCAAAGTCATTCTTTTTTTTTCAGGGGACAGTGGACACCAGGGATTGAACTCAGGGGCACTTGACCACTGAGCCACATCCCAAGCCCTATTTTGTATTTTTTTTATTATTATCATTAGAGACAGGGTCACACTGAGTTTGTTAGCACCTCACTAAATTGCTGGGGCTGGCTTTGAACTTGTTATCCTTCTGTCTCCGCCACCCGAGCTGCTGGGATTACAGGTGTGCGCCAACTCCGGCCTCAAAGTCTTTTTTAAGGTGACTCATTCTTAAAATCTAAAATGTCTTGAACAATTCAGAAGGCAGACTATTCTAATACTGGCCAAATTTTATTATTATTATTATTGCATTAGCTCCCACAGCATAACAGAAACATCTCTTAACCTTGTAATTCAGCTATTGTGTGGTCTGTGGACCACATTCTAGCAATCTTTGTGTATTTCATCTGGCCCCCAAACCTACTGATTCATCCTAATTTTCCCTGCCTGCCCTACTAGTTCTACTCAAGCCAAGATTTCATGGACTCTGTTAAAATACCCACTCCTTTTGAATGTCCCTCTTTTCTACTCTAAAATAGGTGACTTTAGAAGATTAAGCCCTATTGCTTTAAGGCATTAAGTATTTATAAAGTGGAGCTTTGTTCTGTCCTTGGGAGAATATACTCACTCAAATAATGTTCTGATCTCTACCCAGCTTTATGTTCTTTATAACACTGATCATTGTGTGTAATTGCATTAAGTATTTATTCCTTAACAATATGAGCTTCMTTGAGAGAGCAGCTTTGCTCTGCTTCTCCCTGTGTTCCTGCAGAGTGATGCYCAGCATGTAGTACTCTAAATCTTTTTAACCAAGCAAAAGGACAGCAGTTCTCCCTAAGCTCACCTCTTTATCTCTGTCTAAAAGCAAGAGAACTTTTGCTTTGGAGTTAGAGAGTGTCTTACAGTGAAACGTGACTGGTGTCACCTTTAACTCAGGACTACTGATCAGCCATTGAAATTTGTTTCTACTCACTAATGCTGTAAGATTTCCTATGCAAATTYAGCTTTTTCAGTTTCTGAGATAATTCATATTGTCTCCTCTCAAGCTTCCACTTTCCTCTACTGAGTGCCTGTGACTATAATGACAACCTCCCTGAACACTTCATTGACAAAAGCTTACATAAAAGCTTCCCCCATGCCTTCCCACCAGCACATCTCCAGACCAGCATCTTCTAAACCCCTGCTTCCTACATATCTCTCACTACAGTCAAGAAAAATCCTGCCCTCATCAACAACAAATCTTCTACGTGTGCTCTGGACCTGAGATTTCTGATTTTATATAGAAATACACTTTTGCATGTACTTGTCTGTCCTCAGCAATAGCATTTTTTCTTCTCAGCTTGAATTTGTTGTTGTTTTTGATACCACTCAGATGTACTTTCGTCTTAAAGAGCATAAAACTACAGGAAGTTATATACCTATGTAAAGGGCAAGCCTTTTTAGTGCCTGTGAGGCTTGCTTTTCAGAGATTTGACTTGGGAGTGGGAGAATTCAAATGAAAGAAAGTAAAAAGTACTATGCAAAGGAGGGAACTCATGAGTAAACTTAGTATTTGCATASTGGGGAGAACTGAGTGGTTCTCTATTCTTCTGTGAATTTAGAAGACACTGGTGCCCTGGATTGGAATGAGCAGAGAAACCCCAAGGGACCAGGCAGTGTGGACTTAAGTATTCCTGGCTAAGGAAATTGGGATTCCTGGTGTCTTGGGGAGCATAAGATTAGAGGTTTAAGAGGTTAAACTGGCAACAATGCAAAAGGACTAAATGGTGGCAGTTTGGACTTT